GGGTTGGGATTTTGTTTTTTGTCCCCCCCCCCCCCCCCCCACAATGTTACAACCAACTGTAAGTCTTGCCTTCACATTGGAAACAAAAGTCTGCTTGGTGATAATACTTTCTACATTGTAGAGCTGTGAAGAGTTAAAGGTTTTTTGTTTTCACCACAAAATGATGGGTGAAAAAAACATACTCCTCTATACTTACCTTTAAATGACCTCATGTCACAAGGTCATGCAGGAGCTGCTTATGATTTTTGAGAACTAAATGAAGATTTTGGTGTCAGTTGAGATGACTAAAGCTGAATAAAGCAGTGACTAACGTAATGGAAATCTTTTCAATCAACTGTAAGACTTTTCATGGCTCAGTAGTATCTTTTCCATGATGGAAGTTTGGATCAGTATCTAAAATGCATCTGAAGAGAACTGTGGAAATTACCAAATGGCTGTGGAGGTAGCATTTGGGGGGGGTGGGCGGGGGGATGAGGGAAGTAGCACTTATGTCCTGATTTTATAAGCAGATACATGTAGTGATGTTGAGTTCTTTGAACTATTTCCCAGTTTGGAACTACTCCATCAAAATGTTGGAGATTAGATCAGCATCTGGAATACTAAGTCTTTCAGATAAGCTGTATGTGATTAGAAAAAAAGAATGTCCAGTAGCTTTGACACACATGTAAATAAAGCTGTACACCTAGATAAAAACTGTAAACAAGAATTCTTTTGTGGGCTTTGCCTACTTGAGTCATTTCAGTTCAGAGGAATAAAGAGGGTGATACACAGTACTGACAAAGCCATTTGTGTAAAGAGGCAGTTATTACACGTAATGGGTGGTGGTGGTGGTAGCAGCATGTTTATGTATTTTCTGTGAGCCAGAATGAACTTCTAAGTATCATGCTTCAAGGATATATATATAAACTAATGGAGGTTTTTTGTTTGAATTAAATAGTTCAGATAAGTGATGCAACCACAATGCATATAATAAAGGGAAAACATTATGGGATATTTTTGTGTGTTTTTGTTGTTTGGTTTGGGAGTTTTTTGGGTTGGTTTTTTTTTTTTTGGTTGGTTGTTTTTTTGTTAAATGGACCTTTCCTTACCAATATTAAGCTTTGGTGTGTTTAGTTTGACTGTCCTTTTATTTAAAGGTGGCAACTATGGAGGTGGTCCTGGCTATGGCAGCAGAGGAGGTTATGGTGGTGGTGGCGGACCAGGATATGGAAACCCAGGTGGTGGATATGGAGGTGGAGGAGGAGGATATGATGGCTACAATGAAGGAGGAAACTTCGGTGGTGGTAAGATGCCAGCTTTAATTAGACATCCATGGTTTTCGGGCAGGTCTGAGTTGTACAATGCCTGAAGTATGATACTCCATAAAATGAGTTGTACAGTTAGGTCTTAATGTAGAATGCTGTGCTACATAAGTAAAGTTCTTTTCTGTCTGGATCAGCTTTGATATGCTGTACAGCATTGTTTTGCCTGGAACTTGTTTTTCGAAAAGCAGCAGCTATAAACCTGTGTGTGGAGGTAGAGTAGGGGAATTTTTAAACTTTTGACCATTTGAAGTATGCTGTTACCATCAGATACCAGCTCACATCATGTAGATCACGTCCTCCTTTGTGAGGACTCTAAATCTAAGTTTAAATAAGCCTTTTAATTATTTGCCACAAGTTTGGGCAGTTAAGCTGCAAAATCTGCTGCACACTTTATTATACCCTCTGATGTGTACATGCAGCATGCCCATTACAATTCTATCACTTTTTGGAGGAAATAAATTGTATGTAGTTTACGTTCTTGCCATACATGCAAACCATTGGGCAGTGGAAGAATGACAGTGAAACTTGTGTGCTTTTCTGAGTTTGGAGGCCTTAAATTTGGCCTATTGTGTTAACTTCAAATTGCCAACTCATATCGACATAAATTGTCTGATGTTGTGTGATGTTTTTCATCTTCAATGAAGTAACAGTTTCTAATTCTCAAAAAGCTAAGGGTCTTCTGTCATTTGTGCATTGTAAGCAGAGGTAGCATGCAAAATGTTTGCAATTCTATTTTAAATTGTTTAAACGATTACAACTTACATTTACATTGGATGTCATAATTTGGCAAGCTTCACGTCCTAAGTGTTGAACAGAAGTGGCTTTATAAATCTGTATTTGTTTCAGGTAATTATGGTGGAAGTGGAAACTACAATGATTTTGGCAATTACAGTGGACAACAGCAGTCTAACTATGGTCCCATGAAAGGTGGTGGCAGCTTTGGTGGCAGAAGTTCAGGCAGTCCCTATGGTGGTAAATAAGATTTTGTACAGAAAATATTTTTTGGGTTAAAGTTTCTTGTTATTGTATTTAATACGCACCTTGTTTTTTGTAGGTGGCTATGGATCTGGAAGTGGAAGTGGGGGCTATGGTGGTAGAAGATTCTAAAAATGCTGCCAGAAAAAGGGTAGGTGTAATGCATATTTATAATGATGATTAATAATGTACAACTGTTCACTGAGAGTAATAATTTTCTTATCCTGTATTCAACAGGCTACAGTTCTTAGCAGGAGAGAGAGCGAGGAGTTGTCAGGAAAGCTGCAGGTTACTTTGAGACAGTCGTCCCAAATGCATTAGAGGAACTGTAAAATCTGCCACAGAAGGAACGATGATCCATAGTCAGAAAAGTTACTGCAGCTTAAACAGGAAACCCTTCTTGTTCAGGACTGTCATAGCCACAGTTTGCAAAAAGTGCAGCTATTGATTAATGCAATGTAGTGTCGATTAGATGTACATTCCTGAGGTCTTTATCTGTTGTAGCTTTGTCTTTCTTTTTTCTTTTTATTTTCCCATTACATCAGGTATATTGCCCTGTAAATTGTGGTAGTGGTACCAGGAATAAACAAATTAAGGAATTTTTAACTTTTCAATATTTGTGTAGTTCAGTTTTTCCACATTTAGTACAGAGAACTCTATAACAGAAATAAAATGTAGTTTAGGGTGTTTCCTTGTTAGTTAATAGAGAGGATTAATGCATTTCTCAATTACTATTTTGTATTAATTTAAAGTTAACAATAGAAACACCTATTGATTTGCAGTCTTAAGGGGTCTAGTCTCAGTGTATATATGTAACTGTCATTGACATGAGTTACATAGGCATACAGAGGGAAAACATCTGTATGTTGCATTATAGTTTGTTTAGATGTATAACTAGGATTGAGTTACTCAAATTAGTGTTTGTGAATTATAGAACTAAGCTTTACCTTAATGAAAATTTCAAATTACTTTTTGGTTTGTGCATATTTTTTTAATTTGTAGTTCTGTATTAGTATTAGCGCTTCAAGAAAATAAGGCATGATAAATATTTTAACAAGACCAACTTTAGACACATTAAAGCTGTCTCCCGTCTCATTTGAGATGTATAAGGGATAACTGCAGTTGCTTAAGTCTTGGGTGAAGAGAAAAAGAAACTTGCTTTTTACCTTTATATTTATTGTAATTCCCGAGAAGTTAAGGTGGGGGGAATCAAGTGCCTGTTTCCTTGGGATATACAATGATTCTGTTTCAATAAAACTATACTTTGGGGAGGGTGGCTTGGAATTTTCATCCCCTTCCTTTGTCCCCATTTCCCTCTCCCTCACACCAGACTGCACTGTTTCAATTGAATGAGGCGTCATAGTGAGAGTAATAGGTATGTTCCTCAATAACTTAATGGCTATATACTTTCTTGCATGCACCCTAGGCAATTTTCTGGACACATTCTTCTGACTGGGAGCCAAGGGTAGCACAGGTGTAATCACTGACAGTCCCAGGTAATGCGTTCCAAAAGCCCATTCACGATGGGCTCTAAGTAGTATAGTTTTCAAGCTTTTTCCCTTGCAAATGTCTGCGCTCGGCTAAGAGCTCAAAGATAAAACAAAACATGATCTAGTTGTATTTTACTGACTAGAAACACTTCCCACAACGTAGAATGGTACAGTTGAGTTTCCACAGGTAGAGTGATAGCGTGTTACAGTTTGATTTGATGCACTGGAGTAGCAAATCTTATCAGCACATATGGCTAGAAATTGTACTTCATTCTCACTTCTGACCTCCCAATTAAGGCACTACAGTCTGTCCTTTTCTCATCTGATGTGAATTCTCTCGACTATTGCCAGGACAGTGCTTTCTGTCAATTCAGACTCAGAAGAGTAGGGACCCAGTCAATAGAAGAAATACTCAGACACTTGACAATATGGTATTGGAATTATTCACACCTGTTACACTTCTGGGTCAATGTGCAGCATAAGGTAAATGCGATTCCAGTGTAGGAATGAATCTGCAAAGATGTATGAAATGGCTCAAGGCATCATCAGTCATATTAATAATGAATTACAATTTTAAGAAGTAGTAGAAAAATGAGTGTGTTGTTTGAAAAAAAAATTAAACTATGTTATTTAAACACTGTTATTGGAGTGTATTTAGACTGCAGTACACTAAAACAAGGAACCGGTGTCAAGATGGTAGCTTCCAAACTGGATTTCAAAGTCTGCTTATTCTTTTCTCTGTGGAGTTTTAAAATATCTCTAAAGTTAAAGCAAGAATTGGTGATTTAGTGAACGCTTCTGTTGTTGTACATATTAATTTGGGTTTGGGGCGGGGGTGGGGGGAGGCTGTATTTCAATAAAGGCATTTTTTGAACAACCCATTTGGAGTTTGAAAACATTGGAAACCAAAACACAACTCACTAGGGAGTGGGCCACCTAACTACCGACTTGCTTTGTACGTTACTACGCTTAGAAGATGTGTAGACTTGTACCTGGGGCCTGCATCTGATTGCAGGGACAACTGGAGAATGGGGTTGATGTCCCTTCTGACAATTGATCTGGTATTTCTAAATTTTTTTAGAATGTATTGACAGTGTTCTTTTTAACAGGGCCTCTTGTAGCTGTACTGTGACAACAATGTTAACTTTGAAAAATAGTGTCATAATAAACTTTATGAACAAGATCTGTATGCAACCTTTTAAGAGATGGATGTAAGTGACCGCTTTGTAGGTGGGTGGGGTAGCTTAGCTGTTGTTTGTGACGTGGAAAAAGTGTAAGCCGAGAGGACAGTGATTAACCAGCTTTAAAGAACCTAGGATGTACTTCTTTGATCCATACTTTGCTAAGGAGACTCATAAGACAGGACTTCAGCAGCCTATTGAGTATGGAGAAGTCAGCATAATTAAAGAATGACAAGGCAGCAGGAGCAACAGCTTCAACTTCCAGAAAAGTGAAGGCATAAGATACTGTGCTGATAGTGAGCAGCTTTCCAAAGGCTAGTTAAATCTGCTTATCACAGCTGAAATATCGAAGAAAGTCTAGCAAGAGTTCTTCACCTTTTGGAACCTCCTTGAGTGATAGCTACTTGAGTTGACTCAAAATCAATAGGTCTAGCATTTAGACCTGAAAGGAAGGGCAATGAGCATAGGTAAGGTTTGCCTTTAAAATTTTTCATGAATTATAAAGAGTAGTGGGAGGTTTTTAAACAAGGTAAGAGTAATTTCTTTAATTTTCAGGTTGAATGAGAAGCTGCTGCTTGACAAAATGGGGAATGTCTTGCACATCCTCTTCAATTGAAGGTTTCTGACTGGGTAAGATTTGTAGTGTATAGTAAAACACTTGTTTAACCCTTATTTCCTTCCAGGCTTTCCTTTGCCAGCCTTTTAATATCAAGGAAAGCCTTAAGTATTAAGGAGCAAGTATTCCAGCATATGTCATCCAGAGTTTCCTGTTCTGGGTGAGGGTTGCTTGCTGGCATAATTGCTATTTGAGAATCATCTGATCCTGGGAGGTATAAAATTGCTGTGTGTCTTGAGATCAATGAGACAGAAATGATAAATGTTTTGAAGTGTCTGCTCTGGTTGCTGTGGGGAGTGTACTGAGGGGGGCGGAGGGAGTGAGAAATTGTTCATTGCCTTGAAAGAGACGCCTTGCAGAAAGGTGAAGACGCTGAAGCAGTTTATCACAATTCTCAGTAGTGTGCGGTACGCTGCTGCTGCTGCAGTAATTCTGTAAAGGCGCTTCGCATTGGTTAGAGCAGTGATTTCCCTCCTAATAAATGAATCTTGGCTTACCAGGTGGGTTTGTATTGACCTGTACAAATTGAAGAGTTCCCTTTCAGATTTTTGGTGCTTTCAGGCAGGGTAGTTTAGTGGAGGCTAATACTGTCACGTGATACCCAGCTGAAAGCACAACTGCATTTGTAGATATGAGGGGCAATAAAAGAACTTTTCATGGAATCTGTCTGCTTTTATGCACATTGGTTCTTAACTCTTGGAACATGTATTTTCTTTTCTGCATCTTTGCTTGTTACAGGTCTGGGATATTTAAAACTTTTATATAGTAGTCTAGTACCTATTTAAAGTTCCCGTACATTTTTGAGTCCGTGCATTATTTCTGTGAAGTCAGTTTCTATTTTAGTGTTGGTTATGCTTCAGTTACTCAGAAAATAAAAGTCATATGGAACCTGTGCATTTCAGTTTAACCTGGGGCTTAGGTGTGTTCACAGACCGATTCAGGTATTTAAACTTGTTACCTGCTGTCTGTAAACATCCCGAAAGCAAACTCTTGACATTGTAGCATACAGTTAAAAGTTAACTTGGCAGTAATTTACAGTGGTAATGTTGAGATTTTCATATAATCAGGAGCAACTTAATGGAAATCTCACCAGGACTGTATATATTTTTAAAAAACGGTGACAAACGTTTGGTTGAGCCAAAATTTGGAACTGCTGCAATAAGGTCACAGTCTCTCCTTAGCGTAGTATGCCAGACGGCTTGTTGCTACGCTGACAAGCTTGCTTGCTTGCACCTAGAGGTGGCAAACCTTTGCGTTTCCTCCGCTAGGCAGAGTTGCCTTGTTAGCTCCCCTAGGCATCTGGGTGTAGCAGCAGGTAATGGGGAACAGCATTAGAATGTCTCATGGTTACTCAGCTGAGGGCAAATGCTCTAGTACTTGGGGGGAGGGGGAAGGTTACAATTTTTTAACAGTAAAATCTTGAAAATGTTTTAACAAAAGCAAGTTTTAACAAAAACTCTTTCTAGTTTGCATCCCATTACTAGGCCTGTGTATAGAACAAAGCTCTACCTTTCCTTAACATGAGAGGATTCTACATTGCTGCAGACTTGTTCTGTGCTCTGGAGGGGGTCTTTTTGCACCACGTCTAGAACTAGATACTCGCTGTTGGAATTATTTTCACACTTGGATTTATAACATTCTTGTTAGACTAATTTGCTTAATTTCAATTCAGAAATAAACCTTGTCAAAGATAAACACATCCTTAAGGAGTACTTGGTCAAGTGTGCCTTTGTCCAAGAGGCACTTCCAAGAGTTAAGAATATTGTTTCATGGCTAGGCTTTTCTATAGTGGCTGGTACTGAAAATAGCAGCTGTAAATGTAGATGGAGATGTAAAGTTAATGAAGCATTGGTCCCTAAGCTGCAGTTCTACAGAAGTTTCTTTGATACCTAAACCTGTGTGTTAACCTAAAAGCAAATGGTACTTCCAGGTAGTAAAAATATATTTCCCCAAAAGGAGCTCGGGTTGATGCAGATGTGATAAGTGTTTTGTTGTTACAGAGCGCTGGAATTAAACACAGCATCTTGACTTTGATATCCTTTAAATATTTAAGGCGGGAAGGGGAATGCTCCTACTCTTCAAGCATTGATTGTGTGATGTACTGACTTGCTGTCTTTGGTTCCTGTGTTTAAGACATTAACGTGTTTTCATATACTGTCTACACTGCGGTGGAATATTCACTTGCATATCAGTCTGTGGTCTCTGACAAGTGTTTGTATCTTAAATTGCGTGGAGCATGAAAGATCTTGAGTATCACTAAAATTCAGATATCTGATGGATGGTTCTTTTTCTGCTGTGGGTGCTACAGGTTGACATCTCTATCTAAGATTAGCTTTTTCCTGAACTAAAGTAATCCAAGTACCTCCGTAGAAGAAAAATGGCCTTCATGTAGAAGATAATATCGCAAGATTGGAAACAGAATAATGTTATAATAACTGGCAAAGACTTCAAGAGCAATGGTGCTAGTGTGCTGAAATCTTAGAACTTGTGGTTAAACAAGTTTAAAAATAGCATGGAAATTAAAAATTTCAGTATAGTCCATAATGGATTGAAATTTGTTAAAATATTTCAATTTTGTATCAGAATAAAGTGTATATTGTCAAATGACTTAAAATCTCAACTGCGTTGCCATCACCCTTTTTTTAGTGCTGTGAGGAACACAAAGCGGTCTTAAATTACTGCAACACACTGAGTTACAGGATCATCTTGCCGACTCAGGACTGCAAGTCAGAAAACCTTGGTTCAGCCCAGCTCCTCAGCTTTACTTTTAATAGTTCTAAAACCGAATGTTTTAATCAAGAAATAAATGGTCTCCACGTGGAGACTTGTCAGCATATGAGGTCAGCATTGTGATGCATTAGACTTGGCACTGTGTCACTAGTCACTCTCAGGTTTGGGAACATACTCTGTACCTCAGTAATGTAATAATAATAATAAAATGAATGATATAGTTTGCAATCTGATGTTTTCACATATACCAGGATAGTCTAATGTGGAATATTTTTTTCCTTGATGATGCTGGGTGTTTTGATGCAAGTACAACATTCACTGTGTTCATGATATGAAAAATACTGGTTTAAACTGAGTGCAAGTTGTTGTGGTCCGAGTTCCTTCAGACTGATTCTTTGCCTGGTGGAATTCAAACAAGGCTTCTGCATGAACTGCAGGGGGTTTTTTTGTTTTTCTTTTCATCTTGGTAATGGAATAAGTATCCCTGTATTAGTTTTTAGACACGTGGGTAGTACAAATACAAGACCCCCTGCAAAGGCTGTAAGGATGCTGTTTGCCTTTGGCTTTTGCATTAGTGCTAAAATCTCTTTTATAGCCAATTTGTAATTCAGGTGTTTATATTACAGCTAGAGAGAACATTTTCTCTGTAAGTCAGACATCTGATAGCCTAGTTAATGGCAGGGCAGAACCCAGGAGCTCTTCCTCTTCAGGTTCTCTGTGCTTTGCCATCAGACCTACCTGTGGGTTAGAGCCACTGTATATCAGTGTTGAAAGACTGCCCAGGGCCACAGCTTGGTGTGCTTCCTCCTTAATGCCTATGCTCTAAAATTGGCCATCTTTAAATACGGATTAGATCCTCTTGCTTTAAATGGCAGCAGTGTCTCCCATTCCCCTAGTGTTCACCCAGGCTGGGAGAAGGTGAGGGGTGCTTTCCTTCCTGTGCAGTGCTGGTGGCAAAGTCGACAGAGGCACCTCCTGAACAACAGCAGCAAGAAAAATATCCCTTACTGCTGCACTATCTTTGATTCAGTTTGGCTGGTGCTTGGCTGCCCTGTCTAGAGCAAATAAATCTGCTTTGTCCATCAAATCCAGCCTCTAGGTTTTCAACCATTGGTAATGAACATTTGCTCCAAAAGGAGCATTCTTGCATTCAGAGTATGTCAAGGAAGGACTGTGCAGTGGGATGGACTGACATGCCGTTAACAAGAAGGTCAGCATAAACAAGGTAAGCAGCCTCAAAGTGCAGATTAGGTCACCTGGATTTACATTTCCCAATGTCTTCTGCAAAACCACAAATGTTACTACTTGATGCAATGGGCTGGGTTCTCAGCACTTCCAGGGATGCTGGAAATCTGAGGCTACAGTTTTTTTCATGACTGTGCTGTATCCTCCTTCATGGGGCAGGACCTCACTTGAAAGTTGGCAGCAAGTAACACAGTATGAGAAGTTGTATGAAACTGCAACTTTTCTCTTAAGTTAGGCAGGGCTGGAACATCTGATAGTCCCAGGTTTAGGTACCAAAGACTTTCTTCTGGTACTGGTACTTGGCCATTGCACCTGCCTTTTAAAGAGGAGACAGTAGGATCATGGTTGCTGGCACTACACTGCCCTGGAGCAAAACTACCTTCTTTCTTACTGAAGCTGTGGTTGCTGCTCTGCTTTCCTACCCCTGCTCTACCCTGGTTAGCTAAGGTTGTGCTGCGGACAAAGTGTATGTGTGTGTGCAAGAGCGAGAAAGAGAGAGAGAGGGCGTGTGTGTGTAAGTTGGCTAATAAAACCCAAAAGCTGATTGTGAATAGTTACACTGATACTGCTGTGACCAGCTGGACAATAAAATATCATCTGAAATTCTGTGCATACAGGGAAAAACCAAAAGTACCTACATAATCTGTATGCTCCAAACTCATTAATGCTATTCAGGTGAGAGGGCTTGGAGTCACTAGAGAGTTGTATGAAAGCAGCAAACAGCACAGAACAGTCAAAAATGAGACCTTCCACAGCATCCTGTGACAGAGTATTCATCAGAACTACAGCTTGCTTTACTTTTTCTGTGCTGCTTTTTTTTTTTTTTTCAGGATGCTAACAAGGTCAATAAAACAGCATATAGTATGGAATTGGGATTATGATAATCTAAAATTGTTCCTTTGGCTATCGTGGCCAGCCATGATATAAAACTCCATCACAGTTAAAAAGTTTGGGAAATAAAAATCTCAAGACTGAATTCACCAACAACTATCATTTTATTTAGGATCACTCTAACTTTGTGAATGATGAACTAATAGATGGCTGTTTTCCTAATCTGATGTCCTTCTTTAAACCCTTTTTCCTACAACATTATTAAACAATCTTTGTGGCTCCTACTCTACCCTTTTTTCAAAGAAGGAACAGGAGATACTGAAAAAATGTACCATAAGGTCTTGCAAAACAACCTGGTGTTTATTATACTAAATGAAGTTATGCATAATATTGTAATAGACAAAATACTCCTAAAATGATATAGAGCATCAGTGGCAGAAAAAACATTTTAGATTAAACGTGCCTTTCAGAAGTTTCATAGGGAAGATGAAGGAAGATGATATGGTTTTTAATGTTCAGATCAATGTGTCTATTTCAAATTACAAATTGTGGTTTTTCTGTATTCAAAAAAATCCACAATGATCAAGTACAAGTCCATTTGAAGAGTAAACAAAACAATGCTATTTATTTGCCCAATTTTTATTCTCTCATAAATCATAATTTAAACTCCACAATGCTTTTCAATTAATTGAGCACAGGTTCCAAACAGTACAGCCGATTGGCAGTTAGTACACCTTTTTCCATAAGCTCCAATGTAACAGCAGTGACAAACGATGCTCGCTGATTGGAGTCAGAGACACATAGTGTATTTCTAGAACAATTACTCAAAAATGTACAGAATTTTTAGTTGGAAAAATGCATAATGCTGACAATGTCTTAATTAATAAATTTTAAATGCCTTTGGAGGAAAGATCACAAATTTAAGTAGTGTTCAAAGAGCAAAACAAAAATTATGTAAACTTAGCATAGACTTGAAACTTAACTTCATGTTACACAATCCTTCCAAACGGCAGTTAAAATTATGCTGAATGAAACATTAGTAATGCTGCATGATACATCTCTAGTTCTTAAGCATATTTGTTACATGAAGACTTAGCCTTGGAAAACTAGTGAGCATTTTCCTTCTTTAGGGAAATAGATGTGTATGAAGTAGAGTTAGAAAAAAAGGTTAATGAACTGATAAATCAAAATCAAACACTTAAGTATCAACTTTTATACTAAATTAAAATAATGTATTAAATATAAAGCAAGTAGAAATGTGTAAGAAAAATGGGAAACAAACACTATTGTGTATTTATAAAAAAGTATCAGAAGCCACACTGTTTGTCTTGCAAGAAATTATATTTAGAAGGCTAAAATCATTTTTATATATATATCTCTCTCAAATAAATCTATGAATATAACAAGAGATAGGAACAGTATATAAATATGGTATCTTTTAATATTTACATGTATATGGAAACTAGCCAAAGTGGTGCTATAAGAAGGAAATGTCTGTTATAAAAGTGAGATTACAAATTTTGCATACATCCATCTGCATTACACTATTAGTTTTAAACTTGCATCTTCCATAAACTAATCATTAACTTAAAAATTATCATTGCATAGAATTATTTGAAAAATATTACCTAATTCTGCATTCCACCTCACAGTAAAAACTATCAGGATAATGATACAAAAATAGTCACTCGAAGAACAGTAGCCAGCTGTGCTGCCCTTCAAAGTTTAGTCTCTGACTTCTTGCTTTTAGGAACAAGGAAGACATTGCCATCTCTAGTTTGCTGCAGTGAATATTCACTAGGAGAGTAAGACTTTCCATCTTCATCACGTAGCATGCTGAAGACCTCAAGGTATAAGGTGGTTAGCTGCTTTTTCATTTGACGAAGGCTTTTGTCATGCTCTCCTTTTTCCTTAAGCAATTTCTCTTTCTCATCTTTTAGGTTACTCAAGTCTTGCTCCAGTTCCACTATATTTTCCAGTTTTCTTTTACGGCAATTTTGAGCAGCCACTTTGTTCTTGCCTCGCCTGCGTATATCTCGAATAAGCGCAAGCTGGGCTTCATTGAACTGCTCCTTAGACATCATTTCATTGAAGTCATCAACAGGGAGATTGATGATTTTTTCAACAGGAAAAGGGATCTGCAGAGCTTTTGCTCTTTGCTCATCTCTTGTGAGATGAGCTTCAAGGCGGCTTGAAGGTTTATCTTTTGTGAACGGAGCTTTGGGGTGGCCTGGACTGGCAGGGGGCTCCTTCTTTGGTGTATTTGTACAATGCAAACTAGGAGTTTGAGTGCTTGGCCCCACAGAGGAGAACACTTGATCCTGGAACTGCAAAGAGTACATGCTAGCATTGCTCTGCGGCACACTTCCAGAAGCACTATCCATGTCTTCCATTTCAGAATCACTACAACCAAAAGTCTTATCCCCATAGGCAGATGATTCAACAGAGTGTTCAGGCGATGCTACACTAGAACTTGCATTCAATGAAATACCAGAGTCAGAATCATTGCATTCTAGTACAGTTCCTGAGTGGTTGCCATTAAAAGCTTTACACAGTGAGAAATCAGAAAGATCAATAGGTTCACTCAGAATTTCCGCAAGTGATTGACTGATAGTGTTCGTCGTTGCTGTGTCACTGTTCACCTTTGTATCAATAAAGGTGGTGTAGAAATCCTCACAAAAATCAGAGTTTGAAGGGGATGTGTCATTTAAAGAGTTCACACTCAGCTGGCTGGTGTCTTCTGGTGGCAAAATGCTGGAAAAGGGGCCCTCAATACCATCCAGGAAATCTGGGCCGCAGTTAACATCTTTTCTCATGATGGGTAATGAGCTGTAGTAATTATAGCTGTTGTGCATCTCTGTTGGCTTGGTTTCAGGGCTTGTGATTGTGCTTACCTCAGCCAGGTTATCATTTTCAATATTAAGACACTACATGGGAAATGCAAGAGAGAAGTTGAGCAACACATTTCCACCTGGTAAAACCTTTTTCTGTAACCCACAAACATTAAATATTTTAGCAATCAAAATGCACATAAAATGGGTATTACAACGTTGCTGTAACTTAGATGACTACAACACACTTTTACTACAGAGAGGCAATCTAGGAAGAAGACTAGATACCTAAGCAAGAGCATGAAGCAACTTGTTCCGGACAAAGCTATTGATATTAAGAGAGCAGAGCCTCCCAAACTCGTAGCAAGATGCTGAAGAGACCCATTCCAATGCTACATGGAAGCTGCATGGAGCCCTCCTGTTCTGGTAAACTGCTAGTGGGGATCCTGGAGCTGACATGTCTGAACTTCTCACAAGCGCCACTGCTAGGAATGGCATGAGTACAGTAAATGTAAAATTACTGAATGAGACTTAATGAGCATTAGTAGCAAACACTTACTTTTAGCACTCTTAATTTCATGTTATGTGATAGATTTCTTTTCCTCAAAAACCAAGATTCTTTTAGGATTTACTGAATAAAGCAGCTGTTCAATGCTGAGAAATGTAATTCTCAGTGAAGTGAAAAGAGTACCAACATGAAGCCTTGCAAACATTAACTCACCCCACATACTTTTAGTTAAGCTGGCTAACACCAGTGTGAGCATTGAAGACTATTACATTGATGGGCTTTCATTGGCTGCAAGACCAATGTTCTTTCCAACAGTGTGGCAGTTTCTTAACTGAAGCTGAAATAAGTGTGCCTGCTGTCCCCAAAGAATTAGGCAATTACCAAAATGATTCTGTTCCTCTTAAGAAGGGACCACACACTGATTATTTAACCAGAGATCGTTCAAGGCTTAAGCTAAGGTTTTGAATGTGAGCTCTTTTTTTTTTTTTCTTCAAACATATTCACAAAAGGCAATGCCCTCAATTTAATTATCTCACTTCTTTCAGAAGATTATTCAATTACTATTCAGAATTACTGCAACAGATAATTTTGGTTTGGTTTCTTAATGTATTTTCAGTATCACTGCTGCCTCTTCACAGTCCATTGCCCTTGTTACTTATGTGGGGTTTTTAAGCCTACCACAGCAGTAAAGATTGTGAAACTAGGAAATTTTGAAAAATACAAAAAGACAAAGGGAAAATGTAGAGTGGCAGGAAAAAAAACCAGTTCCTGCAAACTTTTTTTTTTTAAATATGATTCGGATTTACAGGCTTTCCACCGAGCATTTATCTCTTGTGTTAACAGCATGAAGTAGAGCAGCATCATGTTGAAGCATGATGATATTCTACAGCAATATATTTGAAAATAAATTTACTCAACTTTCTAGTCAAATCTAAGGAAAAAATATAAATAGAAACATAAGGATAGGAGAAAAAAACCTCTAGATGTCCTCTGTAATGCACAATTTAGAAATATAGCAAAGTTATTTTTTGTTCCTTTAAAATATTCAGTTCATGTACATTACATAATTAGTTCTTACTGAACATATCTAAACAGTAGTTATATAACTATACCTGACTCTTCTATGTATCTAAATGTATGTTCTATTATCATCTTTACAAAACCTTTTCCTTCGATAGAAGTTGAATGCAAAAGTAACCATAAATGATTCACACAATCAGACACTGCAAAAAAACCCCCAAAACATTTACAATAATGCTTGTGGAAACAGTTCCTGTTGTAGATCCATAATTTAGAAGTGTCCATTTTTAAGCAGCTGAAATTTCAGCCATGATCATGGTGTAACAAGCTGCATACAGAGGCAAACAATGATTTGCTAAACGTGGGGAAGTTCTGACTGGGAAGACAGATTGTGTTTTATTAAGGCCTTCTGATAAACAACTAATTTCCTTCCTCCTACGTGTTTTTCAATATATCATTTTTAAAAAATTAAATCTTATGTTGAGTTATAGAAATCCTACAGGTGTAGAATCCAACACAATATTCATAATCACCATCTGTTAAGATCCTATTGTACTGCATTCTCTGAACTACCATACTCTTCCAAAATATTATGCTATTTTTTTCAGGTGCTTATCATACTAAACCTTTACCTGTAACTCTGGAAGGGACAATAATTCTTCCCAAACTTGCTCTATGTTCTGCATATTCTCTGCATCAGTAAGTGGAACTAGAACAGGTGATTCAGGTGGCTGAGTTTCATCAGAGGAAATGAAGACTGGGTGGCTACCGATCTGAGCAGGAACCAGTGACTGAAATGCAGCTGAAGAAGCCTGGAGTGTTTAAAACAAAACAAAACAAAAACCCCACCACATTAAAAAAAAACAAACAAAACACAATAACAAACCACACACACACAGAAAACCCCACTCAAAAAAAAAATTTCCAAAGCAAAAATCTGGTTTTTGGTGTTCTACCATTTCTGCAGAATAAACAGACAGGTACGTCTTAAGAAAAGCATTTTTTGTAAACAAAGGGAGAATATAAAATTATTCCCATGAAAGGTGTCTTCATATTAAGGAAAGAAATAGAAAAAAAATATATAGAAACTGGCTGGTGAAGACCTTATCCTTACACATCAAATAGTCTGGGTCAGCACATAGAAATAAAGCAACTCAAATGCACTAACTCCAGAGAGCTGCACTAAGCTCACTGTAACAAACTGACGAAGTCCGCTACCGTTATTTGCAGTAACTGGAATGGTTGCCATCAGCTGGCATTACACACTGAATCCTGGCTGCAGGATTCAGTAAGCAGAAGGAACCCAAGAGTACCACCCCACTGCCTCTGGACACAGCCCTAGTTCAAGCCTACTATACTGCTTTATTCCAGTTGGAGTCAGCTTGAGGACAAAACTCAAATCATATCACAAATTAATATTTTGCTGAAGACAAATCTTAGTAAGAGAAGACATGAAACTGATCCCCTAGAAGACCACCTGTGAAACTGCTGTATTGAGTATTTTTACCTCATTGTCGTCTATAAATGGGAATGCTTCTGCCAAGAGCTGCATGCAGTCATCAAAGGACAAAGCCTCTGCTTCTGGTTTTGAAGTCTGTGTGGTCTAAATAGGAGAGTTATGAAAAAGTGTTACTGCATCTTTGAATAACTGAAGAATCTTCCATTACAGCAACAAATGCAAATTCATTTAGGTAATCACTAACATGATATCTTCCCGTGAATGGAAAAAGGTTTAAACTCACAAACACATATTAGAGTTTACCTGTGAAAAACCAATTGCTGGATCAGTATTTTCTGATTGAATGCGCTGAGCCGGCTGAACAGGAACAAATTCACCTGTCTCTTCGTCTAACTCCAGCTGAGCCAGCAAGGCTTTCTCCTGCTCTTTTTGGAGCTGCTCTTGTCTTTCCTTTTCAAGTTTCTTCTGTTTCTCGAGTTCATACTCCTTCTGCCTTTGACTAAAATCAAAAACTTCACGCCTTGCCCCAAGGTCTATATCTTGCCTCCAAAGGATGTCAATCAAGTTCATGTCCTGTAATAGAAATGCTTTTTATAAGCAAGCGTCCTCCCCAGCAAAACTGCTTTAGAACAATAGCAAAGCTTTTAATTTCTGTATTAAACAGGTAGACTCATGTAACTGAGGCTTATTCTCTTAATCCTACAAAATTATCTAAATAAAATATGGCTCTATACGACCTTTCTGAAGTGTGTGAGCTGATGGTTTGGTTGCTGTGGCCCACACACAGGCTCATGGAAACTAAGCAATGCATTACAATTGATAAGGTAATACATGACCTAGCCAGAGGATAAATATATTCTTCTTTCCCAAGTTAGCTCATAGAAAACATGAAGCTATGGAATGAATTATGTCACATTAAGAAAGTAATTTTTAGCAGAAAAGAACAGAAATTGAAAAGTAACTTTTTTCAGATGATCTTATAAAACTGTAAAAGCTGACTAAAAACATGACGGGGGCTGTCTGAAGTAACTATAATAGCCATATTGCAAAATGTATTTTAAAGTATTTATGTTCCATCCTGGAATTAAGTATTAATCTTAAAGATCAGCAGAACAGGGCTTCAGAGTGGGAGAATAACCTGGTTTCAAAGTCACCAAGTGACATAAGATCACTGTAGTACTAAACACAGTTATTAAGACTATTACTAAAAAATTGTAATTTAAAGCTTAGTCTAAGTTGATGTTCTAAAACGCAGTTGGTTTGGAGCAGCTGAGTATAAACTAGAGGTCAATAGGTCCCAAATATTGTTAATCACTTGGCCTCTGGCTCATCACAGAGTCAATCATTATCAGACAGCTAACGATGACCTAAATTTCTTGGAAATCAGCTACCCCTTGCACCTGTAGTGTTCCAGAAGACAAATTAAACTCCGCTATTTAGGGAAAACCAACCAGTTAATATTACTTGATTTGGCTACAGTTTATTTTTATTTATTGCATAAGGTGGTTTTTTGGGGGGGGAAAAGGGCTTAGTGGATTTTACTTTTCAAATAGTCAATATTTTTAAGGGCTGAATTTTTGAATATTTTCTCCTGTGAAGAAAACCTAACACTCAAAAATCATCAGTTTGGATGTCAGCTGATACAGTATTTTAATACTTAGTAGCCACATTTGTCAGATGGGCACATGTCAACAATTTCTAGCTGGTGCCTGGGAGTTTTGATTTTATGGCATGTTTCATTATTCTTAAAATTACCCTTTAGCAGCAGCTCACAAAAATAACATTCAGTGTTGGGCATTTTCATCAGGCTAGCACACTACAAATAACTTACCAAACACTACGTTTCATTTAAACGGAACTTTACCGATTCAGTTAGCAGTTCTACAACCAAGATACATTTATTTTGCCATCATATCAAATTGAAACATTCCCTTATCTCTAAAGACTATTTTCAAATAGAGGAGCAAAGTAACCTGAACACCAAGTCACGTTGCCATTCAGAACGATCACTTCCGTACAACAGTTATGGCAAAAAGCTTTAGGGCCAGACCACATTTGAACAAACCAATTCAGTATTCTCATTTCGTTGTTAAAAATTCTATACCATTAGCACTCATACTTACACATGGCATGAACTAATTCTACCTGTTACTAAAAAAATTACTTTTCTCTAAAATCGGGCAGTTACATAAAATATCTGCGTGTAACACAACGCAGGCCAGGCATTCCTAAATCTAAGACATATTTAATATACCTTGCTGGGAAAGACCAAACTCAGCTTTAATGGCCAGCAATGAAGAAGCTGAAATAATTACAGTGTCTGCCCAAGACAACGTTTGGTCTCTCCAGATTGGCAGGGTAAAACGAACTAATTAAGTTCTGCAGTAATTGGAGATACTGCAATATGGTATAGCTTCATTAAGGGCCAGTAGTTTACCAGCTGCTCACTGTCTCCTCCTGCAGCAGATTCAAAACTGTTTCCTAGTCTCAGAGCATTTGCAATATGTTCTGGATAAAACTGCAGGATCTGGATTTTAGGGCTCACTTCTGAATTATTCATTTACAAGGCACCATTAAAAATGTGACTGAAAAGATTTTTTGTGTGTGTGTATAATGCGAATTAAACAGAGTTGTTTTCCTCCCTGAGTTGCAACAGTTACAGCACAAAAATAGCAGAACTGGTGCTCAGTTTCAGTTTAAATAATGAAAACCAAAAGTGATCAAAAAGAAAGGTACAGAAGGCATAACATTTTCCTTAAGAAGAATACCCACGTAGCCTTAGTGCAAAAACTTAAAGCACAGTTATTAAATCTTTCAGCCATACTACTGGCTATATTCATTATCAAAATAACTAGCTTTGGGTGTTGCTTCATTTGCGAGACTAGAGACCTCCAAGACGCCAGCTGGCCCCAAAAAAAAGGCTGTGGCTGTACACCACCACCTGTGCGTGCATGCAGCAATTGATTCAGCAAGCGGGATTATTTTTTTAATGAATATGCTTGCACAGTTTTCAGGATCTTGGGCTGTTGTTTTGAGAAATATGACAGCTTTGACAGCTTTGATTGGCTCCCATCACCATTTTTCAAGGGCCCATATTTAGCCCAGTATCTTATCTCTGGCAGAGGGCTGAGCTTTGCTAAACAGTGTTGTGCTCTACGCTGGAGAGAGATGCTTGTCAGGAACACCTTTTTTTATTTTGTTTAGCTGTTGTGTTTGTAGCATTTAAAACCAAAAAGGTGGGGGTTTTTTAATTATCACCATATAATTGGAAAAGAGCCCTCCCACTTCCAATTTGAAAAGTTCTATATAAATAGAGCAATATTAGCCTTAACTTCAAATGAGAATTCAAGTAATTACTCTTCACATGAATAGGCTGCATGGAAGAAGTGTTCTTCTGTTCAATATGCTAATATGTAATATCATCAAAGAGCACACTGATTTAAATTTTAACCAGCCATTTAACACTTATCTATATTTTCAGCCAATGCTTTTAGTAGTACTGCCCTTTTCAAGAAAAAAAAAATTCCGGGCATTAGTCCAAAGCCTCAGGTCAAAGTTAATGGAGTCAACATTGACCAGTGATTCACTAAGGAGTGAATCATAGCCCCCAGCATGAGGTGATGGCAAAGCACTAAAAAAAAAATAAATAATATATATATATTTAAAAATTGCAGTCTAAAGCAAATATTTTGCAATTTTGCTCCTCCCCATAGCCTTCCTCTTTAAATTATTTCTCTGCCTTGTTGAACACGCACATACACAGAGGTATCCACAGACACAGGCAGGCACTCTATTTTAGGTTTATCACTGAAGCATTCTTCCCTTTCCACTGTGAAAGCATCAGAATAATAACTGTGTATTTGATGCCTGGAGTGTTTAATTAAAGCTATTAAAAGGTATTTTACTTCTTGCCTGTGCAACAGCTACCCTCTGACGTTTAGATGCCTCAACATGATGCGCTGCTCTCCGAAAGATTCATTTGGAGGGACAAGCAAGCACAGATTCACATCCGAACTGGAGCACACACACCGAGAGTCCTGTGAAAGATTCATCTGATCCAGGGCTGGCTGCTGCCCTTTGGAGCCATGCTAACCACTTCCCTTAATATCAGATGCATTTACTGTAAAGGCGCCAGCGGTCCCTCATGTGACGGAGTCCACAAGCGCCTGTTTGTTCTTTCCTCCGTTGTGCAATTTCTTGAATTGCATCAGAGGAAACGATGGTTTTGGCAGAGCCAAGAGGCGGTGCAGGAAAAGCCAGGCCTCCCCTGCAGCAGGAAGGACCTGCGCCCCGGAGGGATTGCAGCTGCCATCCCCCGTCTAGAGATCAGCTCTTTCCCGCTGAACGCCAACGCCTATTTTGAGGGGAAATACATTATGGTACTTAATGTGTGTATTACCACTGTCCAACATTTCTAACTTCTGGGAAAGTAATATGGTTTTAATATTTTTCCCAAGCAGACAAACAGTGATTTGATTTTGTTTATAATATTTTCTTCACAATTTTGTAAACAGAGAAAGAACTTCTTTCAACAGAGGACATGCTTTGCTTTCCCATGATCCATGTAAGCAGGAGGTGCCTTGTACTCATGATTTGACTTTTTTGTTCATTTAGTGATATGCTCTTCCAACCACATTGATAGCTTAGTTTGGACATATAAAGGCACTTTTAATAAGATAAACATAAATGTTAAACAATTCACATTAAGCCACCATCTGGCCCCCAATGGAAATTTTCATGTTTTAGATTTACATATCAGCATTTGCCATCTGGGCAAAGTCTGTTATACATTTTATGAGAAAATCTGACTACATTGTAAAGTTTGACAATTAACTCTTATTGCTCCTAAACAAACATATTTGCAGTAGGGTAAACAAAGGAACGAGACCCTGTTTTCATGTTATTTTCATAGACTGACTTTTGTGCTTTAAACAAAATGCTAATCTTTCATTTCATCCCTGTTCGGTTTATCTGACTGGTTTTGGTATTGTTTGGAATATAAGCCATTTACACGCAGCGTTGGTAAAGTGGAAACACCCAGTGGCCCAAGTGTCAGCAGAGAAACAATCTGCTATCTCAGACAGGGCTTTCAACCCATTATTAGCTATCCCCTTAATACAGAACACATTGTGAGTTTTGCGCATTTAATTCTTAAAGTCAAGCATTTTGCAACATAAATTGGGATAACACTAGCAGAATCTCTCACCAGACAAGGATTTTTCTTTCCTATGTTCCATTAGCACCTAACTCCAAGAAGAGAGATTTCACATACCAGCATGAATAAATGACAGAGCAACAGCAATCAATGGCCATTGCATCCAGCAGTGAGCTCAGACCAGGACCCCACAAGAAGCAGGAAAACACTCCTATAGCTTATGCACAGAAAGATGGCAAAGGATCTCCCAATTCCTATTTGTTTTCCAGAAAGTGAAAGGAATGAACAAAAAGCACCTTACATTTTTGCTTTATTCAAAAAAACATGTGGGAAGTGAGGATCAAGGACCTGAGATACTCCAAGGCAAGAATGAAAGGGAGGGGATCAAGTAATAAAGCAAGCGCAAGAGGAGGAGGTG